AGGTCTGTTTTTTCATATTTATTGGGCAGTATGGTGGGGTGCTTTGTAGATATTAACAAATTCCATGCTCTCTATTTACATATAATGTAATGACCCCATGTATCAGAGGAAGACTTCAAACTTGAGGAGATTGGGTTTATCATTTACTAAAAGGCTCCCTCACTTCTTTCAGACCTTACTCTTCCTCCCTGCTACTGAACCCCTGGTCATGGCAGCTGGCTTGACCATCTTCATTCCCCCTTCACCACCTTTGCCATTCAAACCCTCTTCCCCACCTACTAACTCCTTCCTTCAAACAGGGTATCTTTGGCAAATCTACAATTCCCATCTAGCACCTGGCCTCTCAGTCCTGTTTAAACATGTCTTGAACTCACCCACTCTCTTGAAGGTCTCTGTCACCAATAGAAACTACACTGTCACTGACATGCTCATTTGGAACACCTTTTCTTTCTCATCTGGGCAGCTCAATGTGCTCCTGCTTTGAACTTTCCTTCCTTGCTGGCTACAGCTTTCCTAGATGCACCTCTCTCCTTGTGCAGTTAGCATGCATTGCTCCATTACCAGCCCTTTTCTTTTTTTTATTTGGAAACACTTTATGAATTTGCATGTCATCCTTGAGCAGGGGCCATGCTAATTAATTTTCTCTGCATCTTTCCAATTTTAGGATGTGTGCTGCTGAAGTGAGCACCTATGATCAGTCTTTTCCTTGTAAGTAAAACAATATTCTTGACCCTTTCTTTATAATACCTTACAAAGGCTATATTCTGTGCTCATGCTTTGGATCCCATGCCGGCTCACTTGCCCAGACTTTGTTCTTACTGTGCTGTCTCCCTCCAGCAACACTGGATTATTCTTTTCAGCTATTATGTTACTGTCTTGAAAACATTCTGTCTTTGACATCCATATTCTTCTAGTCACTTCGTTTCTCTGCAATCAGTCACAGCAGACTCCTGAAGAGCTACCCTCACACTGATTCTATTTCCTCACTTCGCATTCTCTTCAGCACATTCCAGAATCTACCAACCCCACCACTCCCTAGGAAATCGCTCTTCCAAGTCAACCACACCCTCCATGCTGTCAACTTCAACACATGTCTTTTTGACCTGATCTTTAATCAGTCTCGCCACAAACAGGAAACATACAATTTGATGTTCCCTCCTTACTGAAAAAGTCTTTTGTTTTCTTGGCAGCACAATATCCTTGCCTTCCATGATTGTTTAGTCTCTTCATCTCCTCCCTCCCATAATTGCTAAATAACTGTGCTGTATATACTTTTTCCTTAGGTGATCTCAGCACTTTGGGGCTTTAAATGTCCTCTATTTTCTGATAACTCCATAATTTATATCCACATCCAAGCAATAGATCGCCACCTCTAAATGTCTGCATTCAGTGCCTCACAGATATTTCAAACTTACCATGTTCAAAAAAGCTATCTTTTCTTTGTAATACCCTACCCACCCTGGTCTTCCCTAAAAGCATGGCCACACAAATGCTTCATCAGTCTAGCCAGAAACCTGTAAGTCCTGTGAAAGGTGTTTCCTCACTGCCTGTGTAATCCATCAATAACTTTACCTCTGTCTCTGTTAGTCTTCCTCTAAGATAGAGTAGTTACTCCCTAGCTCATTACTTGATTGTTTTCTTTAGAGTACCAATTTTCATTTGTAATTATTTGTTACTTGTTTATTAAAAAAATTTTTTTTTGCAGTACTGGGGTTTGAATTCAAGGCCTAACACCTTGAGCCACTCTACCAGTCCTTTTTTTGAAGGGTTTTTTTTTCAAAATAGGGTCTTGTGAACTATTTGCCTGGCTGGCTTTGAACCGTGATCCTCCTGTTTTCTGCCTCCCGAGTAGCAGAGAGCTGGTGAGCCCCCAGCACCCAGTTACTTGTTTAATTTTTCTTATAATACCCAAAGGTAGTAGTCATACCTTGTGCCTGTTTGCTATGTATTGTTAGAAGCACGTTAGGTTTTTAATGTTTACTGAATGAGTCAAACTCTTTCCAAAAAGAAAGATAGACCCCGAACTTTTATCTTCATGGAGAACGTTAGGTTTTTAATGTTTACTGAATGAGTCAAACTCTTTCCAAAAAGAAAGATAGACCCCGAACTTTTATCTTCATGGAGAATACAGGTGTTTAAACTAAAAAATGTATCTTACAAAACCTTAGGAATACTTCTCATATTCCCAGTATATTGTCTTCAGATTCTTCACCTAAGAAAGCACGAAGGAGAGAGGTACAGAGAGAGAGAGAGAGAGAGACAGGCACAGTGGTATATACCAGTAAGTCAAGCCTTAATGGAAGCTAAGACAGGAGTATATGAATTTGAGGCTAGCCTGGGCTCCCTATCTCACAAAATAAAAAAAATAAAAGGAGGGAGATAGGGACTGTCCTGTGCAGTCACTGTGTCCTCCCTGCAAAGAGCAGATGATCTGCTTAGGTATGCCTGTGCAGAGAACAAGCTGGAGTCAGGCAGGCCTGGAACCAGATCTCAAGACTGGCATATGCTGTGTTTTCTGGCAAGTTATTTAAACACTCTGTAAGCCTTTCCCTTATCTGTTATTGGAAAGACACCATGAGCAATGTGTCTTTCCAAGGTAGGGGGCCTTCCACAGTGCCTGAAACTCAACAGATACACAAATGGGAGTGGCCAGAGCGTCCCTTCCAAAACTGAGCACTACAACTGGTAAGAATACACTATAAATGAAAACCTAATACAGTAGATGCCTCCCCTGCCCTGCTTTGTTTTTTTAAAGCTATACATCATTGCCACTGTCTTTTGGCAGGAAAGGTCAGGAATTATCTTGGTCTGAGAGTATTATAGAAGAGTGGCCTTGGAGTCATCTAATTTGACTCTGAATACTGATTCTACTGAGTGTACCTTACGTGAATTTGCATAATTTAATCTCTCTTTTTATTGTTGTGAGCCAGGGTCTTGCTATGTAGCTCAGGCTAGCATAGAACTTGAGATTCTCCCACTTCAGCCTCTAGAGGGCTGAGATTACAGATTTGTGCCACTACACCTGGGTCATTTAAATTCTAAGATTTTCTCCTATGTGAAACAGGGAAGACTCCCAGGCACAGTGATGGCCCTCATGGAGAATAAAGAAATGTTTCATAAATCTTAATTTTGTAGATCTAAAATCTGTGGCAGAATGTTGTTGAATAATTTGGGGCTGATGGCTATCAGACCACTCTAGGTACAGACGGAAACCCCAGTATACAGAGTGAATAAAATGAACAAAATCTTCTAAACTCAGGCATTACATCTTTGATCCTGAGATTCTAGTTGTAGATGGCAAAATAGTTATAGAGTCTCCTTTCAATTCATGCGGGTAGAAGTATTCACATGTAATAGCTCAGATGCTGCAAGGAAAATGAAGGGGATTTCTCCAATAACATCAAAGAGACTTGGTTAAACAGTGCTTATAAATTTTTTCACTTTTATTCTTTTGGCTGTTTCTTTGCCAAAGCTCGGAGAATGTTAGCCATGCTTCCTTCCCAACCTAACATCAGTAGAAATGATTGGGAGAAAAGGGTTTATACAACAGAAACAAGCTTGTGTTTTTATATAGTTTAAAGTTCAGAATGACTGGAATGTATTTTTTTGGAAAGCTTAGAGAAAAGGGCCATAGAACATGCTGGAGTCAGAATCTGTGTGTCTTCATTCACAAAGTCATGATTCTCTTGGAATGAGAAGGCAGATTTTGTTCCCTTTCTCAACCAAAGTTTTGCTCAAGTTCTTTTGAATTCACAGTATCATTTTTATTTATTTATTTATTGACTGATTGATTGATTGGTACTGGGGCTTGAATTTAGGGCCTTCACCCTGAGCCACTCCATCAACCCTATTTTTGTGAAGGGTTTTTCAAGATAGGGTCTTGCGGAACTATTTGTCTGGGCTGGCTTCAAACCATGATCCTCCTGATCTATGCCTTCTGAGTAGCTAGGATGACAGGTGTGAGCAACTGGCACCTGGCTAAATCCATGGTATCTTAACAATTCAAACAACCATACTAATGCCATACTAATGCAAATCCCGATTTGCTGGCAAGGGTAAATGAGTTCTATTCTTGTTAACTGAGAGCTTTGTAGAGAGGCTCATTAGCTTTAATGAAGAGAGAAATGAGGTGCATTTGGGGACTATTTCTTTTCTCCTTAGTTATAAGAACTTAGGGAAAAACCATAGCTACTGGTAACGCTTTCAAAAGCTAGATGGAGATATTACCTGATACATAATTTATCAGAGTTGTTTTCTGGAAATCTTTTCTTGTAGACCTACAAAGGAGGCTATAGTAAAGCTAAATTCAGTATTATAGCAGAAAACTTTTCTAAGAACAGATCTGTAAATGCTCATTGAAGCATCCTATAAAATATTTCATATTTTAGAATATTCAGTCATGTTCTAAGCCCATTTCCATTAGCTGCCTCAACTCAGTCCTGTGGATCAGGCCTTTGGCTGTGAGGCACTGTTAAAGGAGAAAAGACTGACCTAGGGGTGGATCTACACTTGGGTTTAGTCCTAGTGAAACTATTAACAATAAAAGAATAGGTTCCTGAAAGATATCACCAGGGTCTGCACTAGCATTAGTCTGAAGTCAAAGCTATGCTCATGCTTTCAGGTATTCTGTATCAGGTTCATTCCCCACCTCCTTCCCAACCCCCAAGTAGCAACAAACAAATCTTCAAAAGCACTTACAAGTGAAAGATAGACTTCTAAGGAGGGAAATTAAAGAAAGTCACACTATTCTTAAAATGAGCTAGGTACATGGGAGTAAAATGAGACTGGTGTCTTTTTAAAAGAGGACATGGACAAGGTCTTTGGCCACCTGCAACAGCCGTACTGTCACATTAAGTACTACCATGCAATATCATACAAAAAAGCAAGCTTCCAATTTTAAGAAACTTCAGCCTCGGGAAACAGCCAACTCTATTTCCCTGAATTTTTTAAGCAACTACCAGAGTAAACTGGTACTAATAAAGAAATGAGAAAATGATCACCTCCATTTCATACATCGGGGGCCCAAGAATGTCTTTCAGAGCGTGGAAATCAATCAATATTGGCATTTCAGGTGGCAGCGCCAAGTCAGTTGTGTCATTGATAGATTCAGGTTTTGCATCTTCCAAGACATGTTCTCTGCAACCTAAGAAAGAAAATTTGTTTAGAAGTCCTAAGAGACTTGCTAGTTTGAAAATTCATTAGTAGCAAATGTGAAATGTGAAATAGAAGTTCAGTTTTTATGCTTTTATTAAGGCACAAAAATTCCCTTTATATAACCATACCTGGCTAGATGTTCTACTTCCTAGTGGCCAATGTGAACTAGAAAATGACAGAACTCATATAAACAATGGCATTTTTTTTCTTTCCCTGAGACAGGGTCTTGCTGCCCTCAAACTTGTAATCCTTCTGCCTTAGCCTCCTGAGTTCTGGGACTATAGGTAGGCCACAGTGCCTGGCTAGCAATGGCTTTTTTGTAGGTATCTATAGCTCAACTCTAAGGTTATGTGCCAATGAACAAATATAATTGGCAATGCCATGGTGTAAGAATATGAAACATGGTTTGAAATCCTCATAATAATAGCTTATTTCCCCTACCCTGGTTGGCTGATACATTGTTAAAAGTATTGACTCATTTTGATCTGGGCCTACCACATAGGGAGCCAGACCCCACTGACCTACCAAATCACCTCTGTCAGTCTTTATAGTTCACCTGAGTAAAGAAAAGTATCACATGACCTGAGGTCAGAAACCTGAAAAGAAGAATATAGATTTAAAAAATGTAGGAAATATTTAGTTCTAGCTCATTACTAGTCTTATTTTTCTTTTAGTTTTTTATACTTAATCTTCTTGTACTATTTCATAAAGTACTTTTAAAAATCTTTTTTTGTTACTTTTTTTTTTTAAAGAAAAAGAATATGGAATACTTCACAAAGTCATTCTTGCACAGGAGTCATTCTAATCTTCTCTGTATTGTTTCAATTTTAGTATATGTGCTGCCAAAGCAGAAGCCAGCACTTTTTTTTTGTTTGTAGGTACTGGTGTTTGAACTCAGGGCCTAAACCTTGAGCCACTCCAATAACACTTTTCTATGATTTTTTTTTTTTTTTCAAGATGGGTTTTCTGAACTATTTGCCTGGGCTGGCTCTGAACCACAATCCTCCTAATTTCTGCCTCCTGAGTAGCTAAGATTACAGGCAGATACCAGCACTTTTGTTGCCTTCTTCATACTCCTTTCTGAAAGTGATTACTGTATATATTAATAAACAACACAGTAATTATATAGTTACCTAATATGTATGTCTAGTTATTTAGTTTTGCTATGATTCTTCTGTTTTGTCTTTCTTCCACTCGTATCTCATGAAGCTAAAAGAATTTTTTTCACTCCTTTCCTTCCAAACTTGATTACTGACTATCTGTAATAGTAGCAAACCCTAATTTTAGACTCTAAGGCTAGCTGGAGACATAAGGGGTGTCATTAAATGACCCCAGTGTGGCCTTGGAGGTGAAGGGCTCTAGGCTGGGCCAGGCTTCATGCCTGAACCATGAATGACCCAGGAGAGAAAACAATTCAAGCTTTCTCCTCCTTTATGGCTCCCTGACAGAACAAATGAGGCCATGCAAAGTGTTAAGCCTCTCCCACCAGTCTCTGTGGGATTGTTGTGGAAAAAGAAAATCGTTGTAGACCTCAAAGCACAATGCATACTGTATCAGAAGTGTGGCGTCTTGAATTAGATGTATTCTCATAAATGGACCTGTAATGCCACTTGCTCTTTTCAAGGTTTGGCTTGCCCATATTCTACCATATTCTAAGAAGTCATCTTTCATCTTCCCTAACTGTGTTTAGTAGCATTTAATTTGTTTCACAAAACCTAGCAATGGTTGGGCTACTCTGAGAGATTTTTCTGCCTGCTGCTCTGTTTGCAATTAATGCCAAGGGTGAGAAAACACTCCAAAGATCAGATTAGCTGCAGGTAGACCACAGAGCAGGTGTTACTGCTTAATTAAAATTAATGCACAGGAGGAAAAGTACTAGCTGTCTCTGGTTACTGCATTCTAAAGATCAAGAGTGGTCCTCTGAGGCTTCAGCCAGGGCACAGGCTGCATGTGGCCCTAGCCCGTGGTGCTTTGTGAGGAGCTTTGCTGAGATCCTGTTACTGTTACCAGCCTGAATTTCATGTTCACAGGAGGAAGGAAGGCTACCTGGGTGCAGCCAAGCCACAATTATGTAACCAGTGCCTTAGGATACCCAACCCCTTCTCTAGGGTAGTGCTGAATTCAGTGCTTTGCACAGTAAGGGCAGGAGTGGGAACCACTATTTTAATGCAGCTCTACCTTATAATATAAAAGATGGCCATTTAGGCACAGGGGCTTTGTTATAAAAAATTAAATGAACTCAGAACTGTTCTGCATTTCAAAATGTTCCATCCTCAAACACAAGCCTAGAGAACACAAACTGCAGTCGAGAAAATGGTGTAGCTAACTGGGAGACAGGACAGCCCTGGAATTTAAGAATCACCCACTGGACCTTGTGCAAGGCAATGTGAGAGCAAGGAAACACTGAGTTGTCAGAGAATTCACACTTTGATTCCTTGTTAGGACAAGCAAAATATTATCTTACACAGATGCCAATCAGGGAATGAGGCCCAGGTTACCTACCAAGGCCTAACCATTCAGCTGTCATTCCACATTCTCCCTCTCAAAAGGGATCAGCAAAAAGAAACGACAGCAACAGAATCCCTAGGATTTATTGATAGCCTTACCCAAGATTATAATATTTAAGCAGGTTGAACTTTTTCAGGCAAGGGAAAAACAACAGGGGAAAAAAAATCCAACATGTCAGCCTAACATGGGACCTGCCGCCCAACTCTCCCTGACTTGAGAAGTGGGTTTCTTCAATATATGGGATGACAGTAGTGTTCTTAACAAGTGGTTCATATACACAGGAAAAAAATGGTTATTTCACCAAGGAGCATTTTCTGGTTACCAAAATAAGTAACTAGTTAAGAAGTTTAAGGAATGACAAAGGTTGATGTTCAAGAAAGTGAATAGATATTCTCAAACAGTGTTGCTTAAAGAAATCTAAACTATCTCAACCTTTCAGAAAAGCAGTCTGGCAGTATACTGAAAGCCTTCCGAACATTCACAGCCCCAGAGTCTGGGATTTGTTTGCACCAATTCATCTCTAAGCACATGAATGACATGAAGTTTACACTTGGGAGTTACTCACAGAAGCACCATAACAATGGCAAAATTCAGACTTGCTATGAATACTCAACATTAGGAGCATTATTAAGCAAACCATGGTACATTCATCTGATAAAATACTATACAGTCAGAGGCTGAGGCAGGGGGATCATGAGTTTAAAGCCAGCCCAAGCTACATGGTCAGCAAAATGAAGGAACTGAACCACATTAAGGTAAGCGCACAGCACCGGGGCAGAGCCAGAGGCACGTTAGGAGCTCCTTGGAGGGAGGGACTAGGCTTTTCCCAAGCAGCTGTTACTGGGAAACTCAACGTTCTTTTCCACCTATGATTTCCCTTTTCCACAGAACATGGTTTCAGTGAAAGCAGGTCCCAGAGCTATGGAATCACTGTGGGAAGGAGTAAGGGAAGTTCTGAAAGAGAAGGAAAGGAGAAAGAATATGAGGGTATAAAACTTCAGCAATCTTCAGTAGCTTTCTGTAACACGCTCCTTGTCTTGAATAAGTCTTGCAGCAAAATGGTGTCTCTTGCAGGTGATTCAACCAATGGAGAGCAGTAGAGATGGAGAAACATACAACTCTCCAGAATGTGGTGGAAACTGAGGTAACCACAGATACCCTTAGGATAGATATCTATACTAATCTTTGCTGAAGACAGAACGTAATTTTCGTTTCTTAGTCTCTCTACTCGCTTACCCTAAAGCATTGTCCTCCCAAGCCCTGTTCATTTTATGGTGTAGGGGTATAAATCTTCCAGATGCTTCCTATGAAAGCAGTGTTCACTTTTACAAAAAGCAGGCTTTTCATGCCTGGGGGGCAGCAGTGGAACAAGGAAGGATGGGTGTGCAAGACCAATGTTAATTACAGCCAGCAACAAAAGAGAGGGTTAACTCCACAAAAACATGTGTTTACTATTTGTGTCATAACTACTACACATCCTTAGCAGACAGCTCCCTGAGAATGCCAAGGTTGCCTGAGGTTTGGGAATTCAGGAAAGATCAAGAATTTAAGAAGCACAGAACAGAATCAAAATGTATAAAACTTTAAAAGGTGGGCAGAAACTCAAGGATCTGCTCTAACCCTCCATTCTATACCCAGGGCAAAAGACTCTGGGAGATTAAACACATTGTTTCAAGCCCATAGCAATCACAGGTGGCATCAGGTCTCCTGACACCCAGCCAGAGCCATCTTTTTGTCCCATGCTAGAGTCTAGTCTAGAAAAGGCCCCTGGAGTGCAGGTGTTCCTTCACAAGGCAAGGTGAGTTGGTGGTTCATCTTCCGATTCTCTAAGTTGTACAAAACTGGCAGCAATGAAAATGTTTCTTGCCCATAGAAATGAAATTGAATTTTGTCAAATAGAGGTACAACTGATCCTGTCCCCCCACAAGGCAGGTTTTGCATCTTTAAAAAACCAATTTTTAATTTATTCAGCAATCCTGAGTGACTATAAATGAGTTTTTATTTTTTGGATTCTCCACTGAACTAGACATAAGATCTTACTGGTTCTCTCATTAATTGATGACTTATTAACATCTTTTTTTTTTTTTTTTTTTCCGGTGCTGGGGACCGAACTCAGGGCCTTACACTTGCCAGGCAAGCGCTCTTCCACTGAGCTAAATCCCCAACCCCTTATTAACATCTTTAACACACGTCACTTTTATGTTAGTAATGATCATTAAATGTACTAGTTAATACTGTAAAAAAACACTTGTTTCTAGATGGGCAGATTTTCTGAGTAGCCAATTCTTAACCATGAAGATCAGTTGATATATCTAAGTTTTAGAAATGTAGGGTTTTCAGCAACTAAGAGAAAGGATGAATAAATGGGACTTCATAAAACTAAAAAGCTTCTGCACAACAAAAGAAATGGTCTCTAAACTGAAAAGACCACCCACAGAGTGGGTGAAAATATTTGCCAGCTATATATCAGACAAGGGACTG